AGGATTTTTTATGAATTTATTTGCAAATTATGGTGGAAAATAAGTATTTGGTCAATAACAAACGTTTCTCAATACTTTGTTATATACCCTTTGTTGGCAATGACACAGGTCAAACGTTTTCTGTAAGTCTTCACAAGATTTTCACACACTGTTGCTGGTATTTTGGCCCATTCCTCCATGCAGATCTCCTCTAGAGCAGTGATGTTTTGGGGCTGTCGCTGGGCAACATGGACTTTCAACTCCCTCCAAAGATTTTCTATGGGGTTGAGATCTGGAGACTGGCTAGGCCACTCCAGGACCTTGAAATGCTTCTTACGAAGCCACTCCTCCGTTGCCCGGGCGGTGTGTTTGGGATCATTGTCATGCTGAAAGACCCAGCCACGTTTCATCTTCAATGCCCTTGCTGATGGAAGGAGGTTTTCACTCAAAATCTCACGATACATGGCCCCATTCATTCTTTCCTTTACACGGATCAGTCGTCCTGGTCCCTTTGCAGAAAAACAGCCCCAAAGCATGATGTTTCCACCCCCATGCTTCACAGTAGGTATGGTGTTCTTTGGATGCAACTCAGCATTCTTTGTCCTCCAAACACGACGAGTTGAGTTTTTACCAAAAAGTTATATTTTGGTTTCATCTGACCATATGACATTCTCCCAATCCTCTTCTGGATCATCCAAATGCACTCTAGCAAACTTCAGACGGGCCTGGACATGTACTGGCTTAAGCAAGGGGACACATCTGGCACTGCAGGATTTGAGTCCCTGGCGGCGTAGTGTGTTAGGCTTTGTTACTTTGGTCCCAGCTCTCTGCAGGTCATTCACTAGGTCCCCCCGTGTGGTTCTGGGATTTTTGCTCACCGTTCTTGTGATCATTTTGACACCACGGGGTGAGATCTTGCGTGGAGCCCCAGATCGAGGGAGATTATCAGTGGTCTTGTATGTCTTCCATTTCCTAATAGTTGATTTCTTCAAACCAAGCTGCTTACCTATTGCAGATTCAGTCTTCCCAGCCTGGTGCAGGTCTACAATTTTGTTTCTGGTGTCCTTTGACAGCTCTTTGGTCTTGGCCATAGTGGAGTTTGGAGTGTGACTGTTTGAGGCTGTGGACAGGTGTCTTTTATACTGATAACAAGTTCAAACAGGTGCCATTAATACAGGTAACGAGTGGAGGACAGAGGAGCCTCTTAAAGAAGAAGTTACAGGTCTGTGAGAGCCAGAAATCTTGTTTGTTTGTAGGTAACCAAATACTTATTTTCCACCATAATTTGCAAATAAATTCATTAAAAATCCTACAATGTGATTTTCTGGATTTTTTTTCTCAATTTGTCTGTCATAGTTGACGTGTACCTATGATGAAAATTACAGGCCTCTCCCATCTTTTTAAGTGGGAGAACTTGCACAATTGGTGGCTGACTAAATACTTTTTTTCCCCACTGTATTACACCGGCTTGCCAAGCGTGCATCCAGATTTGTGAATGTGAAGTACTGTAGCCTAAACTAAGACAGATGAAGAGTGACTTGTATATTGATGTAAACCTAAGGTTTTATTTTTACTATGTTCCATTAATGGAATGTTCATGAATGGATTGCACTTTGTGTTTTCACCTACTACGGAACTAGACTACCCATTAACTGGCATATTGCTGCCTTTAGCATCTAAGGTTCCATTGAGATGCTTTGAAGAAAATGCATTGAAGGCATATGGAGTAAGAGTATATGTTAGAGGTATCTAGGTTGTTAGCCCCTTTGCTCTGTGTTAATGATCCAGGCCGTACAGTACTATAGGCAGCAAGACACTCAGCCCCAACACCATCATTCCTGCTACCACCCAACCCTGGTGGCCAGCAGAGGGGACTAAAATAGTACTCTGTCTGTTGCCAAGGTTACAACATTGACAACATGACATGGCCATTCATTCTCAATACTGTATCTCCGTGGCCTTCTGTGAGAAGGGGGCTGCTAATCTTAACCCTCAATCTGCCCGCCTGTCAATTTGAGCAGGGAGGCAGGCAGCGAGAGTAGGTATGGGATGGGGTTAGGGAGAGTTTGGTCTTTCCCCTCACCTTGCCTTGCTCTCTGTTCCACTCATTACCAACCCCTCCTCTCCCCACATCCCTCTCATTGGTCCCCCAGCTCAGATAAAACACTTCGGCCCCTCCTCTTCCAGCCAGGCAGTCAAGCAGCGTGTAGTGTGATGCTAATGGCTGAGACCAGAGCAGTTTGGTCTCCATGCAGCCCCATGTGTCACTTTTCCATTTGCAGGTGTGCTCGGGTTTGAGGGAGAAGAGAGGGTTGAATGGCAACTGGATGGGGGTCACAATAAACCAGTAATTGAAAGATATGTTATCGTGAGTGACTGACTCCTCTCAGGGTTTCATGCTGCATATGGGAAGAAGTGGTATCTCAGAGACACTCCTGCTAAAAAAGGAAGAAGAAGAAGAAGAAGAAGAAGAAGAAGAAGAAGAAGAAGAAGAAGAAGAAGAAGAAGAAGAAGAAGAAGAAGAAAGGGAACCTCTTTTAATTAAAAAATAGTGCTCAAAGGGTCGACCAAAAGTTTAAACTGGAGGCATGTTTGGCATGAATAAGTTGCCCCTCTGCTTTGTGCTGTGACATTGACAAATAGAGCTCTGCAGTTGAAAAGGAGACTTATCTTTGATAGGTAATGAATTCAAAGTCGTGGAGATGAACGTGCTCTTTAAGGTTCAGAGGGCTTTAACTGAACCCACATTAGCTCCCCCTGACTTATACATGAGATGCACCTGTCACATGGTGCCAGAGAATCAACCTAATTGGTTCAAAGGATTCTCCCCCACAGATCTCCAATGTTATTGGCTGTGTGGTGAAGAGAGAGTAAACCCCTTCTATTGTCATTGTGATGCCAATACACTGTTGCCTGCTGGCTGGCAGGTTGCTGGTCAGCCTACCTTGCTCTCAGTATTGCCCAGTCTTGTAGTACAGCACATTTTCTATGATAGTCTATATTACATGATGCAGCAGCACTGATCTGGTCTATTGTTTTCCTAAAGAAAAAGGGTGCTATATCCTTCTCCTTCTCCTCAGTCAGTACTAGCCCTGTTGCCATAGCCTCCTGCAGGCTACCACTGGTCGGACACATGGCTATTTAACCATTCTCTTTGTGCAGAACCTTTGTATTTTTATGACGAACGCCGTATTCAAGATGTGCACAAACCCATTTCTGCTAAATTACTCCCAGCGGCGGTCCTAAATAGATTTAGCAATGATACTGTGAGAGGGGAGATGGGGAGCAGAAGAGATGGGGAGATAGAGAGGTAGGGAAAGGAGGAAGAGAGCAGGATACAGAAATAGTCTCTAAATGAGTCAGAGAGAAGGATGTTTGGAGATTTGGTTAAGAAAAGCTTTGAATGTATTTAAATAACTGGGATTTGATCTGCCATCAGCCTATTTTTATGAGCTGCTTGACAGTGCAGTTAGTGTTGGGATTACATCCACAGCAGCTATTTTATTCAGCTTCTTCTACAGAGCCCAGGTTTTCCATTCGTGCATTCCCATCACGTCTCCTCCTCCTCCTCCCACCCAGAGACTTTAATACCTCTGCTTCTCCAAGTTTTTTTTTTTTTTTTTTTTATAACCGGGCAATTTTAGTGTCACTGGTCACAAATTAGGAAACAAACACTGTAGCAATTAGAAATGCTTATCTTGCTGCTTTCCACCTCCTTATTTTTAACGAGTGATTCCTCATCCTAATGTCTTGAGAGAATGGAGCAGATATTCAAATGAGTTCCTTTATTATGGGCAATATTGAAGCTCAGGCTTTGACGTTGCTCAAACTCATAATTGAAAAGAAATGTATCGTATCCTCTTGAGTGGTGTAGATCACATTCAGCCTCCTCCCCCTGTGTGCTAGTTTGTGTTATATTTTGCTAATTTATGCCACACTTAATTTGGCCTTGATTGTAAATGTCCAGGGTTAGACATGAGAGTAGCATTTCCAATGTGCCTGTGCAGAGTCGTACTCGGTCTCCCAGGCTTAGTTGATGATAGTAGTGAATTACCTCAGGTCGCCAATGAGCAGCCGTTCTCTTGATCAGTGTAAAGCCCCATTGGAAATCTCACTGCCTCATTCTCTCTCTGCCATGTCTCTCTCTACCCCTCTGAATATAACCACAGGCTGACATCACATCAACGGTAGTGTTTACAACAAGAGTACAACTGAATGCCTCATGTAAAAGCAGAAGGTCCGTCTCTTTTCTCATCTGACAGAAGACGCTTTGCGCAACAATTTCCCATTAAGCATCCCTCATTACTGGCAGACAGGAAGAGCACATGGTGTGGATTTGTAATAATTAAACCAGAGCTTGGCTCTGCATCTGAGGAAGATGCAATAAAGACTGCTGGTTTATTTAGGATCAACTCCCGAGCCCCACCGAGCCCCTGGGTGCTTGGAGATGGGAACCTCCACTAACACTCTAAATCTAGTTGCCAGAACATATGAGGAGATAAAGTGGCTCTATTAAATTTGTTGACTCCAAAGATCGTTCCTGCTGGCTGCATATTGCATTTGTTGGCTCCTCCATCCCTGGTAGCCTCTTCTCTCCGGCTGGCTGGATTGAATCAGACAGGGCCCAGATCCTCACTACTGCATGAGCTGAACACTATTGAATTGCTTGGCTTGTAGATCCACACTTCTAACTTTTTTAGACTGTATTGAATTTACCATCCTGGCCTAGATCAATAATAGTAAGTTTTGCAGATGGTACTGAACTCAATCTAGCTTCACACCATCTACCACTTGCCTGGTTGCTTGGTTTCTTCCAGATTGCTTTTGAATCTGGGGCTTGTCACCACAATGACGTATTGGGCGTCGCCAAATGAGAG